GAGCAAAGCAGCAGATTAGGAGCAGACAGTCAGACCCCGGGTTTCACTGGGGAAAATCTGGTTTCCATTTTTGTCAGGTCACAAGCTTAGCAGCAGAGCTGGGAGCGGAGTTTCTGGGCTGCCCAGCCCAACAGCTACGTGTGCTCATGTCAGTGCCGAGGGCACCGTGCTCTGGGGGCACCTTGCCCTCCTGCACGGGGGCTGCCCCTTGTCCCCTGCCTGCCTGAGTGAGGTCTCCTGGAGGTGTCTGGGACAGCAAGGGGCTCGTCTTCTCCAGTAAGAAGGAAGATGAAGGGTGTGGGGTTTATTCAGACACCTCGAGGGTGCACCCCTCCCTTCTCTGGGGCTTTTGTGTTGGTCTCTTTAGCCTGCATCAGCACTGCAAAGATTGCTGCAGGACTCCGGAAGATGACACCAGTCTGGAAGCATGAAATGCCATGTAAATGCCAAGTGTCCATTAGGAATGCTTGGGGCTGGACCAGCATGATCACGTTTGACAGGCCTGAGCTAGTGAGAACATTCAAGAGTTGAGAGACTTTTTTTTTTTTTTTTTTTTATCTTGACTGCACTGACATGGAGAGGAATACACCTGGAAAGAGGCGTTCCTGTTGCCAGCCCAGAGGCGAATGCGAGCTCAAAGCCTCAGGATACCAGGGCAGGTGTATTTAGTTGTCCTTGCTGCTCTCTGTGCGGAGCAGGGCCCCGATTCAGCGGGTGCCTCAGTCTGTTTGCTGCCCCAGGGCTGGGGACACACGCGGTGCTGCAGCTTCACGCTGTGCGAGGGCTGTTCCCCTCGCACGTCTGCGGGGGCTTGGCTCCCTGCGCACCCTGATGCTGACGCCAGTTAACTGCTGACAGGATAACAGTTCCATATTTCATTGGTGGCTGAAAAATATTTTGCTGACCAGCTATGTGGGGTGATGGTTACTGTACCATGTGCTCGTTATGGACAGCTCTTGGCTTGGCCTCTGGGAGGAAGCAGGGCTGGTTGAATAGGCAAATTAATCAATGTGACTGCCCACTAGAGTCAAATCAGAGAGAAATGGATTTTTTCTTTTTGGCAGGGAAAAATGTAGCGTTCCCATAAAAATACAAGGAATCTGAAATATTCCATAGCTGTAATGTGCGTGAGAGGAAGGGTAAACTTCCTCTGGGTGAAGAAGTTGGTTGGGAAATTTAGTTACTCGCCTGCAGGGCTGTCAGCATCTCCCTGCAAGCGAAGGAAGGTTTGTGCCTCCCTCGTGAGGCAGAGGGTAATTGGTGCCCTTGGCGGGTTGGGATTTTTAGCAGGGGCTGTGCATGCTCTGGTCCCGGGCAGCCCTGCAGCAGTGAGGACGTGCGGTGATGCAGTGTGAGAGCAAAGACGTCTCCCAGACAGTGCCCACCAACAGAAACGGGCTGGACCGGGCCTGACCGGGATGCTCCGAGGGGGAAGAATGCCCTTGCTGGCTCATGCAGTGCTGTGTCTGTCAGGCTCAGGGCACGTGAATAGACGGCGAGGGCTCGCAGCCTGGTCAGGATCAGGCCGTGAACAGGCTCTCCCCGTGCAGGTGGCACGTGAACATTGCAAGACCCCAGCCCGCGGTGGCTGCCAGACTGTCCCCTTCCCAGCCGGCGACAGCTCCGTGAGCTCGCTCGTCTGTCTTGATCTCCTGCTGCCCAGAGGCACTGTACGAGGCAGCATAGCCTGTCCAGAGCCTTTCCCGCAAGGAAAGGGCTCCAGTTTGTGCTCTGCTTTGTTCCATGACTGCGGTAACCTCTCCTTCTTTGGAGAATAAGATGTTAAAGAGCTTTTGAAAATGATCAAGCCCCTCAGCTTCACTACTGTGATTAATCAATCACAGCTGCTGCTTTACAGCTCCATGTTTTGATGTATTTCAGGTTGTTTCAAAGTTAGCCCAGTTCAGGGCCAGTAAACACATTCCTGAGCCCTGGCAGGGTGCTGGGATGGAGCAAAAGCTGAATTTTCCAGTGCTACACTTTGTTCAAAGCCAAGGCTGCCCAAGTTTATCGCAGAGCGCCATGGGGCAGCCTGTTTGTCTGGCACAAATGAGGACAGTAACGAATTACTCATTCTCACCATTATTTTCTGAAAAAAAGAGTTCTGATCGGAGGCGGTTTTGTCCGGGGAGCCTTTTGTGGGCCTCCCGGAGCTGTGCTGGCACACTGAGCCAGCACTGCGGGGACGCTGCCAGGCTCTTGGGGGGACCTCGGGGAGCATTTGGGGCCTTTCAGCCTCAGGGAGAGGAAAGGTTCCCGGTCCCCGCAGGGTAGGAGCTTTCCCCTGGCTGTACAGCCTGCTCCTCTGCAGTTTGTTATCTCCGTTCCTTTCTCTGCCCAGAGTGCAGAGCTCGGTCTCCGGGCTGGTCTGGGGTTTCCCCAGCTGCCTGTGTTTGGGGTGACGGGGTGGTCTGGCCCCACAGCCGTATTGCGAGGCAGCTGAGTGTCCCCAAAACTGCTGCTGGACGTGGGCACAGAGCTTCTTCCAGCAACGGTGCGTGAACACCCCTGTGTCCCTTGCTGGGGGCTGGGGAACAGGCAGCACCCCGAAATGCTCGCTGGGCAAGGAGCCACAGGCGAATGGGAGAGGCGGCAGCTAGCACTCCGTGACAGACGGGGTGGGTGTGCTAGATGGTGCGAGGGTGCACCTTGAAAAACTTTAAAGGATTTATTAATTTTCATTATTTCCAACATTTCTTTTGTTGATGCTGCCATTAAAAGGGAGCATGGGATGCTCCTGAGAATTATATAAACCTGAAAAAATACGTGAGGAAGAGATTGAGGAAATATCTCTTCCCTGGATGGCAGCTGCATCATTGCAAATATTGTCTGATCTACCCTTCTTAGCACTGAAGTATCTGAGGCTCCAGGTGGCAGCTCTAAGGAGTTTGTCAATGTTGGAGGCTTAGATGCATGACTTAAATGCTCCTTAGCAGTTTTTTGTTTCTTTTGTTTGGTTGGTTTTTTGTGTGTTTGATTTTTTTTTTTTTTTTACAGCTAAACTGCCAAGCAGGATCATGAAGCATCAGGGCTCAGATAGTTTGTAAAATTGCTGTCAGGCAGATTAGGCTAGAAATGGAACAATTGCTGGTGAAGTCTTTTATTTTCTCTCTAATGTGCGTGTGATAGAGGGTGATTTGCAGTCCATTCCACTACCTAGGTGAGGCTCCAGATACCCAGTAGCCAAAGTGCAGCAGTGGTTCAGCCAGCTACTTGCACAAATGAAATTCCTAAGACTGTCTGCAAAGTATATTTAATAGAAACAAATCAAACTAAATAATCTCACTTCTTAAAGGTACTCCAGACACACCGGCTTAGTGACCATAGCTGACCTGTAAGTGCCTGGAGACCTCTTGCCCAGGGTACCAGTCAGATTTTGCTGTTACTCTGCTATGTATGCAACATACGCTTTCCAATAAGGCGTGTTGCTCAAGATAGAGCGTTTGTATCAGGCTCTGGCAAAGGCAATACCTAGACAGCAGAACTCTTTTTGTGAGAAAAGTGGGAGGCCTGTAATCACTTTGATTAGCCAAATGTTCGGAAGGGGAACGAAGCATGCTTGGTTTTACCTGACTTCAGAAGTGAAGGCATAAAGGAGCCTTTCCACACCTCAGCATGCGAAATGAGCATCCCCCAGTGCCTCTGGGGTGCAACTTCACATTACATTGAGCTGCAAAGATCCTTGAGATCTTTGCAAAGATCTTCCCTGCAAACACCCAGCACCCTCATCCCTGCTGAGAGACGTTGTGGGAACAGAGGGAGGCAGAGCAGAGCCAGATTAGCTGTCTCCCTGTTGTTTGTATATGCATCCCAGGCTGAAAACGTCACCCTGCAAGGCTTGGAGCACAGTCTCTCTCTGCTCCATCACGTCCCCATTTCTTACCTAACCTGCAAGTAGTAAGGCTCACGCGCTTTCAAATGAGGTGCCTGCCAATTCAGCAAAGCTGGGACAGAAACCCTCCATGGTACCAAGCTGGTCCTCGCCCTCCTAATTTCCTTATGAGCAGAAAGGAGGGCAGTGAGATGACATTGCCCCTGGAGTTCTGCATTGGCAGAGAGGAGGTGTATGGGCTTGTGCTCGTCTACACCCTGGTTTTCAGGACTTTCAGTCTGAACTCTGAAGTGGCTTTGCCTGGAGGATATTCTGTACAAAAAAGGAAAGTCCACTCTCTTTTTAGATGTAGCTGTTACTGGATTTCGGAGTGGAGAGATGGGTTTGGTTTAAGCCTGGATGTGCCTTACAGACTCCTGGGCATGTGTGTGTGGTGCTGTATTGGGGATTGTCTCCTCATCGTGTATGGTTTGCGGGGGTCTGCATTTCTCCTTCCCCTGTCTGTTGCCTCACCCTCCTCTGCTCTGCCCCTGGCCTTGGGCATTTATTCATTGTCTTCTCCGTCCCATCGGTCCTGCCTGAGGGAGGCTGTGACTGCCCTTTGGCTGATGATGAACCCATGCCATTCCCTTTGGGATCTGCTCTCCTCTGGCCGCTGCTTTGGGAAAGCTGTTCCTGCCCATCCCTGCGGGGGGGGGGGGGGGGGGCAGTTCCTCCTACTGCCCCTCGGTGCTGCGCAGGGCGGGTGCCTGCAGCACAGGGCATGCTCGCTCCATAAATCCAGGGTACTGAAATAAGCATGTCCACTGCAAAAGTATGAATCTGGAAGTAAATACGTTCCCCCTGGAGCCTATGATACCCTTCACCGCCTCTGCCCTGCAAATCAGATTCGCGCATCCTTGTATTTTCACAGTGAGGAAAGTCCTTCTCAGGTGCTCTGATTTAGGCTGCCGGGCAGCTCTGCCTTCCCCGAGCCTGCCCCAGACCGGGGCCTGTCGGGCCGTGGGAGCTGGTCCTGGGGAAGCTCGGGCTGACAGTGGGAGCTGGGTGCGGAGGGAGCCTGCGGGGACCGGTGCAGCCTTGCGGAGCGCGGCGGAGCCAATCGCTGCTGCTAGGGGTGGAGCTGGAGCGGCAGCCGAGCATCGCCCAGCGCCTTCCCCGCGCAGTTGGCCTGGGCTGCTGGGAGAGCTGCTCGGGGAGAGGAGAGCCGAGCTCGCAGCTCCAGCGTGCGCCTTCCCGGGCAGCATCACTGGGGCAGCATCGCTGGGGCAGCATCGCTGGAGCAGCCCCGCTGCCCTCGGCGCATCAGCCCCGCTGGCGGCACGAAGGTACTGACCCATCCCGGCCGGCTTGCGCGTGGCTTGTTGCTTGAATCTGTTGATTAGAGTTGGAGGAAAGTTTACGGGGAAATCAGAGCTGTTTAACAACGGTGTTTGTGGGAGGTGATCCGCCGCACTCTCTGGGATCAGCTGCCAGGCGTGGTGAGGCTGCCGGCGCGGTTTTGGTGCTGCAAGCGCTGCTGCGGAGGGGGAGCCCGTGGTGGGGGGCCCGACCTGGCACCCGCTGCTGGGGAGCTGGTGCCTGTGCTGGCTCTGCCACCCCCGGACCCGCAGTGGGAAGTCAGAGGTGATCCGTGTATGCTGTGCGAGAGGACTAGCCCCGTGCGGGGCTTTAGAATATTTTCCTGGTGGAGTTTTCAGTGAACGCTGCACCCACCCGTGAGCCAGTGGCCGCAGCCGGGCAGGCCTCTGGGTGTGAGTGTCCCCTGAGAGACAGCCCCTGTGCCGAACGGTGAGTGCAAGCTCGGGGTGCTTCTGCTGAATGGACCCTGCGCAGGTGTCCCCACAGTCCAGCGTGGGGACAGGAGCTCCCGGGGCTGCGGGGTGTGAACATGGATGTCTGCAGATGCAGGAAAACAAGCCTGTTCTCTCTGTTGTTTGGGAAGTTTGGAGAACTTCCCAAGTCAGCACTGCTTAAAGAGCAAAAGCAGTTTCCAAGGAGGCAGCTGAGCACAGGGGGCTGGGGCTGCTGTCCCTGGGGACATCCCTGACCCGACTCACTGCAGCACCCACGGAAAGGCAGCTGCCAGCCTGTAAGGCTGCTCATCCCCAGCAAGGGGGGATCGGTCTGTGCATCTCCGTGGGGCTGGCTGACCCCACGTGTTGCACGGGAGCCGTCCGTAGGTCTGAGAGTCTAAGCAGAAGCTCTTCCTTATGCAGCACGAGCGAGGTGACTGCTGCTTTGGGCTGCGTGAAGGATCTCTAGTAACTGACCCTTGAGCTGCCTGAATTGCTGACGACCTGTATCCACTGATTAGTGATACCAGACCTGGGCAGTGCCCCCTCAGTTCCTGATGTTAAACATGCTCTGATTGCTGCCCTTTGGGCAGCCACACACTCCTTCTGCCCTCCTCTGATGTTGAAGTGACCTTAGCGTGCAGTAATGGGTGAAGAACAAGGTTTGCAAAGCCTTGAGGAGACAGTTAAAAATCACCAGTCTGCATTTTCTGCATGAGACTGTGCTGTTGGCTCTTGCATGAGCACGTGCAGTCCATCTGCAAAACACAAACAACCGGCTCCTCTGAAATGTAAGAGGTGAGCAGGGGGATGCTGCTGGAGATGGGCAGCTTGGAAAGGGGGACACTGGGCAGAGGGGTTTCAGCCTTGGGGCTCTCGTTGTTCCATAGGAAAGGGACAGTGACCTGAAGCATCTCCTGCCACCTCTCTTTGCAGTGTGCTGTGGGGCAGGCAGTGGCAGGGACTTGACACACAATTTTGTAAGAGGTATTTTGGTAAAGGTTCTAGACAGTGACTCATCTACTGTAGGAAGGGACAGGGATGGGGGGGCAGCAGAGGAGCTTTCTAGAGTAAAAATGGGTCTTTCCCCCTAATTTTATCAGAAGCAGGAAGGAAGGAATCCTTTATTACTCCCAGAGCAGTGTAGACATGTCTATTATAAACCTCCTAATCCCAGTGTCCCTGCACCTGCTCTGGCACCTCCTGCATCCCTTTTCCTGGGGACGATCCTGCCTTCTGTCACATCCTGGCATGGGACTGTTCTAAAACTTGGATTGATTTCCACCTGCCCCGATTGATTTTTATCTGATCATTCTTAGTCACTTCCGAGTCACTCCAGATAATTAATCCTTGTCCTTACAGTTTGTGCCACATTTCAGTGTGTACCTGGCTGACTCGAGTGTGCACATTTCAGAAGTCGCTTCACTTGTCTCTGAGCTCTACTGTCCTAACTTTTGTCCTGCATCCAGCCTTCTTCCCTCAGGCTTTTCTGCCCTGCTGTCCTCTCCTGTGCTGAAAAGCCCAGAGGAGGCGGAGTGCTGCTGCGTTTCCACTTTCCCAGGTGTGCTACAGAGCACATACGACACCTCTGACAGGCCTCTCAGGTATTCACAGCATTGCTGACTAGCCCTTCTTGAAAAGGTGTTGTCTATGTATGGGGATGTTTTGCTGATATTTGCCTGAATCTGGTTTATTTGCTGCTTCCAGTTTGCAAAGGAATTGGTGCAGCCAGTTGATCCTTGCTGACTTAGCATCTTACTCCCAGTGAGCAGCCCAGCTTTCTCTCTCTGGGGGATTTATGTCACTGCACCACTGAACTCCCCAGATTTGCCTGGAAATGCTGGTGGCCAGTCTGGTCCGTCTATGGATTTATCACCCCTCTCTGCAGGGGTTTTGCTGTTGAGGGGAGGCAAAGTCCTCAAGCACACCAGCAAACAGCCTTACGTAGGGTCAGTGATCAAATGTAGACAGTAATAGTGGGGATTTTTAGAGAATTATTCCTTTGCAAGAAGCAACTTTTGACCAAAAGTCAGCGTCTTTTTCAGACCCGTGGGTGTCTAACCAGACCTCTTTTCGTTGCGAGGCGTTCTTCAGGGTGGGGAGGGTTCCCAGAAGCCCCTCGAGATCACCACAGGGTCTGAGATGGCCAGGAAGGGCCGGGGCTCCCGGGGCTGGTCCTGCCTGATCCTGGCACCGGGTGGCCCAGGCACTGTCAGGTCTGGCTGTCTCGCTTTATCTGGGTTAAGCTCCCAAGGAAAGAGGTGTGACTTGAGATCCAGAACTGGTTTGAGAGATCAGAACTGGGCCAATTTCTAGGCCAAAATGGGGCCGCTCGTGTTCCCAAGGGTGGATTTGGGTACAGAAGCAGATGAAGGTCAAGACTCCCACCTCCCTCCGTTTCACAGGTGCCTTCCTTGGCTGAACGCAGAGGGGGTGGCTGTCTCCCTGACAGCTGCCGGGCAGGTCGTGGGACATATGGAAGCTTTATTATTCCTTACGAAGTGTGAAAAACACCTCTTGCTGAAAAGTACTGGAGTTGCGTAGTGCAGACGGGGCTGCCCCCAGGAATAGCAGCAGCCTCAGGAAATGAGGAGGAAGGCTTTCCTCCACACCATGCCATCTCCTCCTCTGCAGAGAGCACTTATTGTGTCTGCATCCCCTGAAGGAGGGTTTAACAGAGCCAGGCTTTGCTGTGTCGGCTTTGCAGCTGTGACCTTCAGGCAGCTTGTGGATGAGACTGGAGAGGCACTGGCTTAATGGGACGGTGCATCTTTGTCCCTTTGTTTCAGTTCTGCAATTTCTCAGGCACTTTGGCAGCACACTCGATGTGCCAAGCGCTCCTTTCCAGACTTGCCGGGCTGGTGGGGGGGCCAGCCCAGGCCATGCCCACCTGTGCCACCGTGGGCTGCTGAAGGATCCCTGTGCTCTGCCCAGGACGCAGCAGAGACTGATGCCCAAAGGGCATCCTGCTCCTCTCTGCAGTGTACTTGAGCAATTTGGTTAAGTGGGTGCTTATCTATAGGCATATATGTTGGTAAGTTCAAAAAGTCAAGAGGAATTAAAATCATATTTTTCTGGGCTGTGGCTTTTGTAGGAGCTGTGTATAGGAAAAGAAAAGGTTTTCCAGGGTTGTTCATGCTGCGCTGTCTGCTTGTGCCTGCTGAGCCTGGCTCTTGAACAAGAGCATTTGGGTCTTTGCGTTTCTGGTCACCTTGCAACAGACACGGGCAGTGATTTCTGTTCTCCCTTCTTTTGCACCTTGTTCTGCTGACAGCTGCATTTCTCCTCAGCTTCAAGGTGTGAATGCTTCTACCTGCCACCACCTTCTGCTCCTGCAGAGCAGGAGATGGCATTTTGCAGGGGACCGGGGGGGAGCCATGCCATTCGCTTCTTTGTTTATTAATTAGGAAGAAATAAAGTTGTAGAGAGATCAGATTTTCAGAAAGACCCAGAGTTCCAGAATGCTCCCAGAGGATAGATCCCTAATTGCTCTCTAATTGCATTAGAATTTAATTTGTTGTTGTTTTTACTGTAATGTTGCCATTTTTCTTGACAGCTTGCTTTGTTTCATTAACTAGAAATGGTTGGAGATGAATATTCTCAATATTAAAACTTGTCTGTTGTGCAATGCTTGACAGCTTTTAGCCCTTTAATGGGCTGGCAGGGGATGCCGGTGGCTTAGCCCGCCTGCGGGGCTCCCCGTGCGGGGGGAGTCATGCGTGTGGCACAGCGTTCGCCCCGTGACAGCATTTCTCCCGTGTGTGCAAGGTTCGGTCCTGAGAGTTTCTGCAGGACTTGGCAGATCTGGTGGCACCGAGTCAAGGGTCTGTCATCCTGCGAGGGAGGCGGAGTTGGTCCCCCCGGGCAGCGTTACTGCGGGCGCCTGTGGGGTGGTCGCCGGCCCCGCACCCCTGCGGGGTCCTGGGGTGCTGCCCTCGTGCTGGGCAGAGGTGCTGAGCGGGGCGCGGGCGCGCGGCAGGAGGGAGAGGGCTCGCACCCCTTGCGAGGGGCTGGCTCTCGGGCTGGAGCTGCTTTTGGGGGGAGGTGGTGGCTGCAGGTGGGTGCACGGTGGGGGGGCGAGGGCTGCCGTGGGAGACCACCGTGTCCCACCTGGGGCGCGTGTTGGGTCCAGCCCCGCCGCCCCTCGGCATCTGGGGGACGAGGGGGAAAGCAGAAGGCGAGTGGTGGTTGCTGTCCTCCTCCCAGGACACGGCAAAAAGCCGAGCCGAGCTTGCCCCAGAGCGGTTCAGGAGCAGCAGCGCTTCAAAGGGCTCGTTTAATCCATTTCTCCAGAGCATGGAGGGGGAGCGGGTCTGGAAATGCAACTGGGAAGCTTCAAAAAGGGCTTTCAGGAGCTTCATTTGGAAAGCGATAGGGGAGAATAATATTGCTCCATTTAATTTCAAAGCAGAAATATATTTATTTTGTCTCGTTAAAGGGGAAATGGGGTAGAAGATGTAGTTAAGCTTAGACCTGCTTCTTGCCAATACATGTTTGTTGGTGAAACAAATCATCAAGGCAGAAGAGTATAA